TAAATGTTAAAAAACGCTGAAAAAATGACTGTTGTAAAAAAATGAACGAAATTTGACGCTAAGGGACCTAGAAAAGCTACCATACTCCAATGATTTCTTAAAAATAATAACAGTTAAACTAAAAACAGCAAGGATACCCGTGAAAATAAGTATCATAAGTATCAGGTACAAGTATCAGGGAATAAGTATCATAAACTGCAATGTAAGTTATGCGTCAGTCATAATTTTTTGCACTGACAAACTTTGGACTGTCACACAGTTGCTGTGTTTGACTATTACAAGAAAAACCTCCAAAAAATTGGAAATGTTTTGATTATCTGAACAGAAGTTGACATACCATCGGCTCGCAATTCATTTTTCAAAAAATGTATTAAAAGCTGTAATTTGTTTAGCAATCTCACAGTGTGACTTATTTTGAATGTAACAAAATAGACTGGTGACAAAGAAAAAGAACCGTTACAGAAATGTACTGACTAAGATAAGTATTAGGGTCAATATAGTTATAATAATCTGTGACATTCGAAACTGGTAGCAATTCAGTCCAGATCGACGCAACCAAATAAAATTATTTTTTCTCGTTCCTCATACTTACCCTCAATAAGTCACATTACTCTAAGATTAATTCTCTACAGACGTTCAAAACAATGCACACTGTTTTGTAAAATTATTTGCCAACGGCTGAAGATTAAAAACTACTGCCTAATGTGATAATAACGCGCCACATAGGCTGATTCGGTCCTAAAAGACGACCACCACTTCAATTTGGAGACCACGTCTAAAACTGTCAAACCCGTCAAGCAACTGACATCAGTTAGGTGATATCCAACACTAATGAGACAGTTGCTGAAATTTAGCTGAAACATATTTATTGTAGGTATTCAATAAATGAGGAATGTCAGCTAATCAAGTAATTTAATGTTTAGTCTACTCTGAAGAATAACTTCACTATTATTTTCAAAACTTACCAGGAAAGTGAACATTTAAACTACAGCAGTACTCCAGTAATATTATAACTATGTGCCAAATTAAAGATTTCTTAGTCTGAAAAATATCTCAAATAAACTGCCGAAGTGTAGCAATTGAAATTCCATGTCCTGAGTGCTAACTAATAATTTACATCTAAATAAGAATTTCTGAAAAGAGTGCATTCAAAATCTAGAAAACTTACTATATACAATATGTGCTCAACAAAAAATATGGTTCCTTTTTACGATCCCCTTAAAACCGAGTTTCTTTACAGTGAATACGATAAACACAACATCAAGTGCTAACACCAGTAGTCTGGCAGTTTACCCTTGTAACTGTTGTTTAACCCCTGTTATGTGTCCACAATTCTTAAATTTCTACGTTGCAGCTAATAAAACCCTCGCTATTGAACGTCTGATATCCTTTCCTCAACAGTCCTTATTTTTCTACCTCAATTTCTCTATTTCATCAAACTTTTGTCCAAAATTTTCAGAACAAATTCTGTTGATTGCTACATGCTTCCTTAGCGCATCAGTAACGTTCATCAGCTGCCAGAAACTCAAATGCTCTAGCTCTTCCCTTACGCATAGAACAATTCTCACCTAATTTTCAGTCAGTCGCAGAATGAAAACAAAAACATAACTTGTTTATTAGGTTACTTGAGCAAGAACACTTGAGCAATTCATCAAAAAACCAGAAAGCAACGACAAAAAACACTAGAATAATGACCGTATGTTCAAAATCCAACGTAAGCAGAACGACACTATGGCTATCTCTCAAAATGCCAAGAAATCCGATGAAACACTCTTGCGTGAAACGAAAGTACTTAATTTACCGCAGTATTACTTAAATAATTAGGTTTTTGTGAATAATTCTAACAAATATATTTTTTTCTGAAGCTTTCTAATTCTTTTCGCACTGAATCTCAAATTGCCAATCATAAGAACACCTGAGTACGTTTACAGAAGTTTTTTTGTGAAAATAAACTCTGTGATACAAGTATACTGCACTTATGTCATCCTGGCTCTATCCGGAAACTAATTAATTATCTATAACTAATTATCTATTTCAAAACTAACTCAGAAAATCAGAAAAAAATTGATATTCGTATGCAAAGAGTACCTACGTAAAGTGAAATATTACAGACCATAAGTGAAGACCAATCACAACCGCATAATAGCCAAAATAAAAAAGCTGGCTCGTTTTGAAGAAATTTATGGCTTTTTAACGATGCACGAGTCCGCCTTCTGTCTCATTTCCTAAAAATTGAAAAAATTTACCTATTGATATAACCACCTAAACAGTAAATTAAAGATGAAAATTTTGTTGACTATAGTGCTCCTCCGCTCAAAATTTTAAAAATACACCTCGACATCCCAAATTTCTTCCCAAACTCCTCACTGTTTTATCATACATAGATGACAACTGCACAAATAAACCAAGTCGGAACTTGGCAATGTTTAAACTCATTACTTAACCAATGTTCAGTAATACCAATTAAGGTAAAAATTTCCACTAAGTAAATTATATATATTGTGGCTTGAATACGACATTACAACACGAAAAAGCCTCATCGTGGTAACAGATAAATGTCATAACTTCTTCCAAAAATGATAGAACAAAAGTGCGAGTAAAAAATTAAAGAAAAACCAGTACTCAACTACTCCTATAAGACATTAAAGTACTTTTGGTCACAAAGCGAGCAATGTCACCTTTATAATTTTTGACCAATCTGGTTGTGCGATGATTCCAGTTCCAGAGACGAACAAATTTGCCCCTGCATTAGCACTAGTCTCAATCGTTGAAGAATCAATACCACCATCCACTTGAATGTTCAACAGTGGATGCTGCGAACGAATAAGTTTCACCTTATCCATCATGTCTGCCATAAATTTTTGACCTGTAAAAGGCTACATATACAAGATTTTGGAACTGTTATAACAAAAAACACAGCCAATTAGGAGTTCCAAAGAATAAAGAATAAATCTGACATTTCAAAAACAGGAACAAATAGAAAAAAATTTAGCAAAAACGCTAGAACTAAGCAAATTAAATACCTCCAAACCCAGGTTCAACAGTCATTACAAGAGCATTATCTAATCTTTCTGCGAATGGAAGTAAATTTTCAGCTGGCGTTCGAGGCTTGATTGCTAAACCAACCTAAAACTGAACGCCTTAACTACAATCAAGTAAACATTCATTGACAAAGAATTCCGCATCGTGGTTTTGCTCAATTTCATTAGTCTCTTCCGATCTGGAACATATGCTTGATTACAGTAAGGCAAGATCATGCAGCGTTAATGACGTGTTATTGACAATTGCTCCCATTAAAATTACTCACTTTTTTCTGCAGAATACTTAAATAACCCCACTTCTCCTAGTATTTAATAGTTGTCAAATTCTAGCCTACTACTTTAGCTCAACACTTGTTCTTGGCAATGACAATATGCAGCAGAAACATAAAAAGAATGCTGCAAATTGGAAAGATAGAAAAACACCAAAAGTAAAAAACTTTAACAATCCTTGACAATAATCCACTTATATGACTTCCAAATGCTGACTGCTGTGATTTAGGCAAAAACCTAAGTATTTAAAAAAAATTCAACATGTTTTTTAAAACTCTTTTCTTCAGGCAAGCAGTTATCTACTGATAATCGCTTTTCAAAGGCTACCAGTCGCATATCAAGTTAACTATGTCTAATAATACAAATAAACTCAAATAATAAAACCGACACTACTTTCAGGTTGGAAGCCCTGATTTTGTCGATCAAAGAGTAGACTGCATCCTTTCCTCCTTTAGCATCAACGGCTTCATAATGGAAAGTGAACTGATTTGCTCCTGCCTGTAGATTCAAAGTTACTGTGGTAAAAGCGCGATTTTCTCAAATCCCCGATATTTAGAAAGTAACATTCAAGACAAGATAAAGAAAACGCGATTCCAACAATAAAATTGTTCAAATCAGTCCACAAATCACACCAATAAATACCAATAAATAATAGTTTTTGGTAATACCTTCCTCATTGGCTCTAACCACTGTTCCGGATTAGTTACCATCAGATGAACGTCCAAAAAAGGTTCATTACCAAGTTTATTACGTAAACACTCAACAACTGCAATATTTTTAATGATATAGCGTATAGTGTGTATTAACCATAAAAGAAAACTAAGAAAAAAAAGTCATCTGTCATTTTGCACATCATAAAGAAAAGGTGTCACATTTGATGTGGAAAAAATTCTTGAGAAGCACATGACAAATTTCAAAGCCGAAATTGAAAATTACTTGGGTGACCGAAACTCAAGTTTGGAACAAAGTGACCGTCCATAACATCTAGATGTAAGTAGTCGGCTCCAGCTGATAACAATTTCTGACATTCTGAACCCAAATTAGAGAAGTCGGCATTCAAGATTGAAGGGCAGATAACTGCTTTTAGACTTTTAGGCGGCATCCCTAAAATTAACTGATAACTTTGATAAAAGTAATAACGAAAGACTAGTTATAAGTTCATAAAGCACCATCAATGAAACAAAGACGTGTAAGGAAACTGCAGCAGAAGTGCACGGCAAAATACACTTTTTGCTCGGGAGGTAGCTATCGCGAATAACAGAAATAGCAACCTGCTAAAATCCTTTGACTTATAAACTAGAAACCGAAGAGGGCTTTCAAGGGAAATGTATAAAACTCATATTTTAAATAAATTATTTCATAAACTGGGTTATAAAATTGCAGACAAGTTACACTCCAAAATCCTCTTAAAAGAACTGCACAAAAAAAAAAATAATAATAAAAATAAAAGAAAAAGAAAAAAACGAGAGAACCACATGAACTGGCAGAATAAGAATATTTTTGTGTAAAATCACGCAAGTCAAAAACTGAAAACTAAAGCAGCAAATAATAAAAAAATGTAAAGTATTACTTTGCCTGCTGTGATATTAAAGTATCCCTCAACAAACCAAATTTCCTATTTGAAAATTTAACAGAACCCGTATAGCAAAATATATAAATAAGAGGAATCTTGAGATCCAAAAATCATTCTTCTCTAGATTCCATACTTTCTTCAATTAATATGTCAAAATTCCCAAAATTTTTTTAGCTCCGAGATTTTGGATCCGCAAAGAATATTAAAAGTGAGAAAAAAAAGTGGTTTTCCCAAAAAATTCAAAAAGATTTTCACCTTTTGCTTGAAAAAGTTTTTTTCAATCCTGTCGTTCTGTGGTCTGCATGTTGGGTTCATTCAGTGTATAGGACTACAATTAGATTCAAGAAAATATATTAAGCTTTCTTCCCAACGTCTGTACTGAGTTCATGATGCATTATTATAACATCGACTGGAGTGCGGAATTCCATTGAAACATAATACAACTATCCATTTTAATTTAAATTAACCAATATAATATCCACCCCGTGAAAACCTTACCCTAGAAGCTTTTTTTATAATCAACAGATATCCACATTTATTTAATAAACAAACTTATTTTCTCTCAAGATTAAAAAGATGTTGTTTTTATGACACTTCTACACAGTTTCCACTGTAATCTTTTGAATTTTTTAATGAAAACTAGTACCAGTTGAA